TGTTTACAACAGAGGTGAGAATAACAAATATCAGTTGCGATTTTCATCAAATTGTGCCATCACCAAAACTTGGTGGTTGGAGGAAGAACAAAAATGGAAATCCTGAAGAGCAGAAAGGTTTATCTGTTTTTTGCAAAGCTGGACTGTAACCCCTTGGCCTTTTTCCTGTCCATTTCACCTATCTTGAACAATGAATAAGAACACTTGGGCAACAAAAGCATGCAGAGCAAAACTTGCTGACTAATGAACTAATGGATTTTTTTCTGATTCTGACCTTGCTGAGCCATTCCATCAGTTCAGAGCATCGTTAATCAACAGATCTCTTTCATTTAACATTTACCTTGAAAATGAAAAGCTTCACATTTCGTATTAATGTCGCACACACACAGTTAATACATTCAGTGAATAAGTATTCACTTTAATAAGTGATTTACCAGTTGGTATAGAATCACGTTGATCAACAAACTGCCTAGAAGCATGGCTTCTCAGCATTTCCGCTTTTGTATTCTGTTCCACTGCTTTTGTACCATGTTTATTGTTAACAGTCAATTTAACACTTTAAAATATTCCTTCACGAATAATATGACTGGGAAGATTGAAAATGTTTTATTTTAAGACTTCTCCTGATAGCAGGGAACAAAGACCTTATTTTTTCCTCACTCTTGCTTAAGAGAAACAATAGAAACCAATGTTACCACTTGCAAACATACTAGCCTCTTGGCTTTATTTCTGAAACTTCTCTATTAGAGCCCCTTTAATTAGATGCATAAATCCTGTAAATGATGTCAATGTTCATAATTAAATGAGACAATTGCAAAATCAGCTGCGGCACAAAATGTAGATAAATGTGGGAATGAACAATAAGGGGTTGCTTTATTATAAATCTGCATGACTAACACTGCCATAGTGATGCAGCAGAGAACTTATAACATCTGCTTCATACATATGAAAATTCAATTAAATTATCAGCCATGAATTACTGCAGCACAAACATCCACAAAGAAAACTTTGACCTAATTATTTTAAGATTTTTTAGGCAGTAAAATGTCGTATTTCGCTATGATGATGTTAGTCGATTCATTTTGTGATGCTTCAGTAGCATGATAAACTCTTTTAAAAATGCATCTTTCACTAATAACAAAAAAAAAAGACTTTTAGAAATTACTGCTGTTTAATGTAAGATAAGATAAAATAACATAAGACTAAAAGGTAGTAGATCAACTATAAATTGTTGTGGGAATCAAAACCCTATTAATTAAGGTATTTTATATTAACTCGTGACCCATATCTGAGGCCATGTTCTACCTTACTCTTTCTTTAGAAGATGTATCTATTTTCCTGAAACTATGTGGATAGTTCTGTCACTATGAAAGTTTTGAGGAAGGAAGAATAAAAAAGGCCGCAGTGAAGAACAATTTCTAACATTTTCTCATTTTCTCTAACACCTCTCATGCATTCAGATCATAGAGGACTGAGAGCAAGCTGATTTTGATTATATATTCATATGTACTTCTAAGTATATAAAAACAAATCCAAATATATTTACCTGTGCAAATATACACACAAGGACAGACATACATGTATTTATGTGTGTATGTGTCCATCTCCTTCTGCTCTTTCTCTGAAATGGGTCCTCTTGACCACATTGACATCTATCCAGACTGCCTTCCTTAGGGAATATACACCAGACAGATACTAGCCTTTCACATGAGAATAGAATTTTAATATTTATCCCCAAATAAATCTTGATGACAGATGGACTGTTCTTCCCATGAATAACAATTAGGAGCTAGGTCCGCAACAGAATGTGGCAACCCTCTCACAAAAGCAAACCTCAAACAAGTCTTTAGGCAGACACTCAAGTTCCTCATCATAAAGGCCCAGCTGAAAGACTGACTTTGTCATAGCTAACAAGTTACAATGCTCCAGAATTCAATAAGTCAGAAATAGAGTGCTCCTGAGGTAGCTCCTGAGGTAAAATTTAGTGATGTGAGAAATATGCAGAACTGAGTCCAGGGACACAGGTAGGCAATTGCCCCCCGCTCTGGTTCTTAGCAGTACCAGATAATAGCATCTTCTGCCACTTCTTATAGGCTAAGAAGTACACTGTAAGGGATAATGATAATACTAACATGGTATGTCTAAACTACTGACTTGGTGTTATCAAATGGAAAACATCTAGATGGGAAAGTCACTTCATGAATTTAATATTGCAAGCCTTCAAATAAGATCTCTAACCAGAAACCTCCCTTTCTGCAAAAGGAAAAGCTTGGCTTGTCTTTTGGTCTTGAATGGGGAAACTGAAGATTAAAAAACAGAATGATAGAATCATAGAACCAATCAATAGAATCAATAAGATTGGAAAAGACCACTAAGATCATCCAACCCAACTCTAACCCACCCTCACCATGCCCACTGATGCTCTTCTGTATCACAGCTCCATGTTTCTTGAACACTTCCAGGGACACTGACTCTATCACCTCCCTGGGCAGCTTGTGCCAATGCACTACTATTTGTTCAGAGAAGTTTTTCTTAATATCCAACCTGAACCTCTCCTGGTGCAACTGAAGGTCATTACCTCTCATTCTATCATTGTTAGCCATGAGAAGAGGCTGACAAACATCTCTCCACCACCTCCTTTAGGTACTTGTAGAGAGAGATGAGGTCTCCCAAGTCTCCTCTTCTCCAGACTGAACAACCCCAGTTCCTTCAGCCACTCCCCATAAAACTTGTGCTCCAGATACTTCACATCTTCATTGCCCTTCTCTGGACATGCTCCAATGCCTCAATATCTTTCTTGTAGTGAGGGGCCCATTTTAATTCCTTCCACCTCCAGATGCCATGTTAAAGATTATGGATAAGGGGAAGAGAGGCAAATTTTTGCAGAGTCTAAGGAAGGCATGATTATTAACATATCTGGTGAACCAGGCTTTTGGAGGAGGCAGCTCAATGCTCTGGCTTTTCCCCTAGGATTTTCATAATGTTCTTAGCACATCCAATCTCACTGTAAACACGTCACAGTTTCTATTCACTCAGAATTATAAACCATGTCCTTTAAGGAGAAACCCCTTTAGATGCATAGGGCTGAACCCCATTGTAAACATTTGCTCTTTATTTGCATGGCTTCCGTGTCAAAACCGACTTGAGTCCAGAAGCACAGGTGGAGAAGATGCATGCACAGCTGTCTGTGCCTCTCCAGACAGATGTGATCTCAGGCCTAATCAGTGTTGAGCTAGCAACCAGTGCTCCCATACAGTTCCCCTATGGCACCTTGCAGAATGCCTGGTAGCTCACAGGACTCACAACTTGTTTACAGATACAGGGTGCATGAATTACTGGAGCAGCAGAGAAGACATGGTGTTACAGAGCAGGAGGGGCCAAATAACTCTTGTCCTAACCGCACATTTTCCTTCGGAAGCTTAGCTCTAGGCTGCTCTATTGCTATGTGGCCCACTACAGCCTCCTTTTTCTCATATAATCTTAGAATCACACCATGCATTGCACCTGAATAAACGAGGCTGAGTTTTGCCTTATGCATATACATGTACACATATACTCATGGGTATGATAAAAGGCTGGCACATATTCTGATAGACCGTTATTCTATGGCACAGTGACAGAATATTTGGAGTACTGGATTTAAATATCTAACTTGCAGAGAAAAAAAAAAAAAAAAACCCACAAAGAAAAAAATGAAAAAAATAAACCATACCTATTTCATGCATTTCCTTCCAATAAGAGGGCTAAATATGGTATCTTTGCTTCCATTATTAACAGAGATCTATAGGAGGAGATGAAGTCAATACAGTAAGCAGAGCTTACAGTGGTGACCTTGATCAAAAATAGATATCTACTGTGTGATGAGGTGCTGATGAGAATTGTTCCCCAGGCTCTGGTATGCTGCTATCTGAGCTGTGCTGAGAGCTCTGAAAGTTGGCTGAGACAAATCCACAACTTCTGCATTTCAGAACAGCTTTCGTGGTCTGTACACATCCTTTTCCTTAACCTCATTGTCACTTTATCCAAGTATATATTAGAGCAAATTTTAGTACAATAGCAGATTTTACACGTCAGGTTTTAGAAGAAGTCCTCTCTGTCATCTACCTGGAAACTGGAATCAGAACTGACATGAGCAGTGCTTGCCTGTTCTCCTGCTCTTGCCTTACTTGAAGTTATGAGTGAAGTTAATTGTAGCAGCATGTTCCTGTCAGTTTCTCCTCACTGCCTCTCACAGTCCCACTAAGGCGTGAATCCACGTTTTTTATTTTCAATGCAGTGACACCACAGGAAATCCCTAAAGCTGTTCCAATGCCCAGGAGCAGCTCCCCTCAGATCCAAATGACATCTCAGGGAGACCTCTGGCCAAGGGCAGACCCCTACATGTGGCTTCTGCCACTGAACTCGTCATCCTGATGGGGCAGAAGGAGTGCATCTTCGTTATATTGCATTGCCTGGCAGTTTCCAGTGTTTCAGTGTGACATTTATTTAAACAGGCCTTAGATAAAGATTTATTCAATTAAAGTAAGAAGAGACAACAACTGAAAACCCATGCATTCGATGCTTTTTACCTCATTAGTTAGCAAGACCAGACAGGAGAACTGTGATATTTCTGTTCCAGGCAGACTTCAAATTCACACCTATTATGATCCAAAATTATGTTTTTAATTAATGTGTACTCTCTCCCAGTAAATATTCAGAGAAACTGACAGCGAAGCACTAGATGTGCTGAGATACAGAGCTAGTCAGAGCTCTCTGTACCTTCATCTTGCTGTGGTCTGGATTCTCAGTTTGGTTGCACAGCTATAAATCACAGCCTGGTCAATACAGTCACACAGGAGCAGTGCAAACCAAAAAAATAACAGAATGGATATATGAGCTGGATGAGCTTTACATCCCAAAACTAAAGGCCTCATGCACCCTAAATATTCTCAAAATCTTTTTTTTTTTTTTTTTTTTTTTTTCTTTTTTTTTTCTTTTTGCAAGGATTTTTATGCTTTTAGTGTATCTGAGTCACATTTGTCTGCTTTTTGACTATAAAATAATCCTATATTTTGACAGAAGAGTATAAAGGAGACTTGATATAGCAGATTAAGAATCAGCCCCCAGTCAGGATAAAAGATAAGATATGTACTGCCAACACACTGTGTTGTTACTGTATTGTAGAGATATATTTCAGAATGAATTTGACACTTTTCAGTTATTCTTTTACACTCACTCTTTGGCAATGGAGTTGATACAGGAAAGAGTCACTTGGCTCACAGTCCATCTCTCTCCCTGGATCAATAGCATTTTCTGCAGTCAGGATCTACCAGGTTATTGTCCATCTGACTGGCACATGCAAGTGAAAAAAGCACTGCACTCCTTGGATCATCTTAAAACAGCAACCAGTATGGCAGCAGTGTGGTGGAAGAGTTTCCATAATTTCCCACTATATCCAGAAAACAGCATTATTTTTACAATCCAGCGTCGGTTCTTCAGTCTTCCTGAAAGATCAGAAGTACATTTCTTCCTAAAGACAAAAGATCAAAAGCAGTCATTGAGTTCAGTAGGCATGGAGTACAGTCGTGGGCTTAGGGGCCACTTGGACCATTTGTCTCTCCAAAATCTCCTGGCATTGATATTGCACTCTCCAAGGCCCTCCTCTGACTGGCTTTTCACTATGGAAGAACTAATTTGCTATTTACTAATTTGCCTTTAATGTGTTGCACTGTCACAAAGGGTGCAACTTTATAAATATGCACTTGCAGTTGTAAATTCAAGAGACCCACACAGAGAGGGGAAAAATGAGCCTTCCTTTTCAGAGTTCATCATCCAAGATGAGAGATAAGTAGATCCAGTTAAGAAAGCACAAAGATAATACAAGATTCTGTTTCTTTACATCAAATTTCATTTCAACAAGCAGGCTGAGGGTGAAGAATGAAATAGTTAAATATTCTGGATTAAACATTTATCTTAGAGCATTTGCTTTTTCACACATAAATTAAATTTTTTTGTTTAATCTCTGCTTTTCTTCTAATTATCTCTTTCTACACACACTAATGGCTCACAGCTAGCATCTCTCTTCAAGCAAAATGACTAAGAAATGCCTGTTGTTGTTAGGCTTCCTTTTTTCCTTTTTTTTTTTTCTTTTTTCTCCTGGAGATGATAATACTGTTTAATTCCTATGCAGAAGCAGTTACAATGACATATATGAAAGACAAGCATAGAACTAACAATTCAGGCATCTCCTAGAAAAAGATATGTCTTATATTTCAGATTTTACATTTCTACAGATGAAGAGCACAAATTCCTGTATTTCCTCTTCTGCATCAGTACATATGAATTCTTGTTGATATAAAACAGTCATCTGTGTGTATTCATGTGTGATGCTTTGGAACTGAGTATCTGGTAGGAATTTATTTTAAAACAGCACAACTTTCTTTCCTGTTCATTTTAAAGGTATGGTTAAAAAGTTCAGACTGAAAAGTGCAAATAATATCTTCCTAGAAGCTACACGGCAAAGAGAAATGAACCACAGGCCTGGATCCTAGAACCTGTAATCTCAGTTTGCCTGCATATAAGGTAAACACACTTCATTGTTTCCCTAATGAGAGTCAAATTCCATCCCTGTTAGCTGTTAGAGAAGGTTCAGAGGAGGTCCAAAAGTTGATCACAGGGCTGGAGCACCTCACCTTGAGGACAGGCTCAGGGAGCTGGGCAGAAGAGAAGCCTGGAGAAGAGAAGGTTGCAGGGTGACCTCATTGCAGCCCCTCAGTACCTCAAGGAAGCCTACAAAGAGGAAATAAATCAACTCTTTGAAAGGGTAGATAATGGCAGCACAAAGGGGAGTGGTTTTAAGTTGAAGGAGGGAAGATTTTGGTTGGATATCAGGGGGAAATTCTTTACTATGAGAGTGGTGAGGTGCTGGAATCGGCTGCTTAGAGAAGTTGTGGATGCCCCGTTCCTGGAGGTGTTCAAGGCCAGGTTGGATTCAAGGAGGCTGGTGGCCTTGCCTGCTGCGGGGGGGTTGAAGCTTCACGATCCTTGAGGTCCCTTCCAACCCAAGCCATTGTATGATTCTATGATTCTATGATCTCTAGATTGGATTGCTTTGATTGACCTCCTGCTGCACTTCATTTTGTTCATGCATAGATATTACATATTTTTTATATATATGTAAAGCAGTATGTTTAAATAGTGATGTGTTTTGCTGCTCTCTAGTAGGAAGAATTAGATCTACCTACACATGCATGGATTAAGTTCTCCCATTACTATTGGTGTGATGTTACAAATGCTTCTGGCCTTTAGGGAAAGTGACAGCCTTAAAATGATCAAGCGGATTGAGGTGTAGATTGCTAGACAGCTCCATCCATCCATCCAAACAAAAATGTATGCCCTTTCTGCAAGGACATATAACTTTAGACAGCCAGTGAAACTCCTGGGTTTACTTTCATTCTGAATACACAATATAAACACTTGGATACATGGAAAGAAGTTAAATAGTATACAAACCTCTGTGTTTGCATTACTGTGGAGTTCAATCCTAATGTGGTTTTTCGTTGTTCAGTAAGACAGCTTCCAATTAACTTTCTCTCAGGCATATCACACAACAACCAAGTACTGCTCTCTTGCATTTGTGTTCTCTGTCCCAGCTCATCAGAGCGTGTGGCTATCATTTGGCTCAGTGTACCTCCAGTCTTGCCAACTAATTGATGAAGAACTATTAGGAGACAAATATATCATCTGCGTTTTAACTGCTTGAATAGAAGGTTATTGAAGTAATAACTGGCAACATCAAAACCATTAATAAAATATGGGGTGAGAGTAGCAAATTACAAATTTCTGTACCCAGTCCCCAAAATAAATTTGCTCTTGAACATAGATTTAGCATTCACAGTGACATAGGTGAATGATACTGATTAAAAAGGAGTGAAGAAAAGATTATCACTTTCACATAGAAATCACTGGCATCATTATCTGTCTCATCTAAATAAAAAGTGTTAAATTTTTCAGTGGCTTCATAGCCCTGCTCTGAAATTGCAGGTGTTACTGTGTACTGATAGCTAAGAACAAAATAAGGCAAAACTGGAGGTGATGTAAGTTAGAGCAAGAACAAGCCTCCAAAACTTGGGAAGAAGTGATAGGTCTTCACCTCCACAAATAGGCAATGTATGTTTGTTTGAGCAATGAAATGTTTGTATTCCTTATGTCAGTGATGAGATGTACTTCAGAACACAGAGACACATTCACTTTGAAGGAGCTAGTAACCAGTTAATAAGTAAAAATGTAAATGATCCTGAGTGATTAATACTGTTATTGCAATCTACATATATAAGAAACTTCCTAGAGAGGGAATGGGACACAGAGCCCAGAAATGCCCTCTCTGCTCCAGTTTTGCAGAGAGTTTCTAGGTGCACCTCTTTCCTTCCCTACACTTTTATTTCCTCTCCCACTCTTCTTGTCTTGTCAAATTTAAACTCCTAGCAGCAAGACTGCCTCTCACTATGTGGCTTGTACAGTCCCCTACACAATGAGGCACCAATGTAATGCAAATCACAGTGTTAAATATTCATACAAAAGCTTCATAGTGTGACTGCATGAAATCAGAACAATCAGGGAACGGGCATAAACTGAGCGCCTAGGTAAGATGAAGCACAGAGATTTCTATTACAATTGCAGCCTCATTAGAGGAAGTGTGCTGACATAAGCTGTGTTTTCATTGTCGTAAGCCCAATTTCATAACCACGTATTAGAGCTATGAATTCTCCGAGCAAGCCATAATGTTTTCACTTTTGGCTGTGCAATCACATATTGTTAGCTTAAGACATTTAAACTTTATAAATGGTTCTGTAATATGTGGTTTTTTCAGCTATAAAATTGTTCCTTAAAAAATAATCTAAGGCATTGGTCACCAGAGTCAATGTCACCTAACAGCAAATAAATTCTGGCTATAAATTAGAAGTTAACTACATAACTGTGAGCAATTCCTTCAAGTAAGAATTAGCTATATATTTTCTTTCCATCTAATAAAAATGTCACTGTAATGCCCTGTGTTGTTTCTGGTCCTATCTGATGCTTTATTTTAAAAACAGTAAAAGATGTGTTCAGTATAATTATCTGCAGCCTTTTGCAGGACTTTGCACTGAGAATTTTGGTTGGAATGTCTGGATGGAGGCAGCCCATTTAGGAAACCTTACCATGCTGTATAATCCAGACCAGGACAAAAAAAAAAAAAAGCACTAGTGGAAGGCTTGGTAACCTTAAGATATACTGAGTAAAATCAAATCCACACTCAATAAAAAGCTTTTACTGGTCCTTTATTGAATGACTGAGACTGTCTCTGGAAACACTGTCTGTCTATTTAGGCTATAAGCTGTTCAAGGCATTTTTTATCTCCTGTTCATCAGAGGCATGCTTTTCTCGTAAATTCTCACTGTGAAAGCTCATTCTTGCTGGATCCTTCCTTACTGAAACAGTTCCTCTACAGAGGAAGAAAACAAGGCTGGCATCCATCATAATGAGTCTATACATAGAGAATTCATATATATATGTACTTTCATCACAGTGGATATGAATTGATAACTCAGGGATTTCTTTTAGGATTACTAATTTGCACTTTAAAGATTGCAGGACTTCAGTGTCTCTCTAAAGGCAGACTTCAGACCTTATTTTCAATGACTAACAACTTTTACACCCAGAAGTCAAGAGGGCAATAGCCTTAACCCAAAATCCAGCATCAGTCAGTGCATATCATTTTAAGAGATAACAACAAGATGTTCCATTTTAAGCAAACTTACCTAGTTTTACTGTTTGATATGAAAACAAATCAGCCTGTGGAGCCCCAAGCATGTGATAGCAAGAGGCAAATGGAAGTACAGCAGGGCCAGAGGCTATGTTCCACAATGTTGGTGTGAACTTGGGCTCTTACAGCTTCTCCAGGACTGTCTGCATTGCTGGTTTGTTTGCTCTTTTTTTTTATGAATGAAAGCCACATTCCTGTTTTTTCTCATGCTTGCAGCAATATTCAAATATATGGAGAAACCCACTATTTTGTTTCTTTAAAGGACATGTATTTGCTTATTTGATGGAAATACTTCTTAGTGGTAGCAGCACACAATAATAACTATTGTTAAAACCATGGTTGTGGTCTCTAGAGAGATTTTCACATCACAGGGTCTGTACGATCCTATCTCTGATCAAAGTTCTGTGAGCTCTGCTTAGGGCTGAGCACAGACATGCCAAAAAGGACTTGGGGAAGGATGGGAAGCTGGATATGAGCAATGTGCCCTCACGGCTCGGAAGGCCAACTTTATCCTGGGCTGTATCCAAAGCAGTACAGCCAGAGCAAAGGAGGTGATCCTGCCCCTTTGCTCTGCTCTGGTGAGGCCTCAGCTGGAGCACTGCATCCAGATGTGGAGTCCTCAGTACAGCAGAAACATGGAGCCGTTGGAGCATGTCCAGAGGAAGGCCACCTTGCAATGCTCCAAGGGATGGAACACCTCTCCCATAAGGTCAGGCTGAGAGAGCTTTGGGCTGTTTGGCCTGGAGAAGAGAAGGCTGTGAGGTGACCTGAGAGCAGCCTTTCAGGGGGGGAATGTAAGAAAGAATGGGACAGGCACTTTACTAGGGTCTGTTGTAATAGAACAAAGGGAAACGGTTTCAAACTAAAAGAGGGGAGATTTAAACTGGATGTAAGGATAGTATTTTTTACTATAAGGGCAGTGAAGCACTGGCACAGGTTGCCCAGAGATGTGGTGGATGTCCCATCCCTGGAGACACTCAAGGTCAGGCTGGATGGGACTCTGAGCACCTGATGTAGCTGCAGATGTCCCTGTTCATTGGAGGGGAGCTGGACTAGATGGCCTTTAAAGGTCCCTTCCAACTCAAATGATTCTACGACGCTTCAGATTCCAATTGTTTTCCACCAAAATCCAAAGTCTACATGCAATCAATTTTCTTCGAGCTGTACGCACACTGATACACCTTTGTGTGAGGGCCCCTTGCTGAGGTCCAGAGAAAAGAGTTTATTCTTTATTTCAATAATCAAAAAAAAAAAAAAAAAAAAAAAAAAAAAGGTAAAGGGATGAGCAAGCAAGTCAAGGGTGCCTTTACAGGAAACCTTCATAAACAATGTATCAGAATGGTCAGATTTGGGAGAAAGCAGAGTTTAGATAGCAGAGGCCAGCACCTTCCAGCTTTGATGCAGGGCTGCATAGTGACATGATACAGCTGAGCACATCTCTTTTCTCTCCTTCTCATTGCCCACTGTTCTCTGAAAGAAAATCTGGGCATTCAGGACCCACAGTGAGGCCAGAAAAACCCTGATCTTGTTCCAGGTAAGTCAACAAGCCTTGACACAGCCAGAGACAAAGCATTGGCTGAAAACCTGAACTGATGGTCCAAGACCACATGCTGCCAGTGTATAGAGCTGGACTGTTTTTGCACTGGTATCTTCAGTATTTTGAGCTGATTGCACAAAAAATATATTATTTTTTAATACTGTCAGCAACTGTTGTTGCTACTGCTGGCTTCTGATTCAATAGCAACATGAGCATATTTCTTAAATAACAGAGGTTGTTTTTTTCCCCAAGAACTTCATGTTCTGAGTGAGTTTATTCATGAACCGTGGAAACATCATTAACATTCACTCTGAGCAAAAGAACAGCTTTTACTGCATCCACATTCATTGGATGTCTCACTCAATCCCATATGTTGCCCATCACACTGAGAACTCATTCCCCTGGACCGTTTGCTCCCAGCAAACAGAGAGCATGTTCTGGTAAGTACAACAATGTATCCTGAGAAAGCAAACAGTTTTTATCTGCAAGAGAAACACAACACAAATGTTTTGAGTGATGAAACGAAGACAGGATATTTTCAACTAGTTTCAGAGGAGTTCCTGTAAAACTGCTGCTGACTTATTATTACTTTCAGTAGTGTTTTATTAATCGTGCAGGTTAGTGTTTGTGCTGAAACTCAGCTTTGTGAATTCTGGCTTTTGTTTTTTAACCCACACTGTGTAACGCTTCCTCTTGATGCAAGCATAAATTTCACATTTGAAATACTAAATAGCAATAAAAAAAGAAAAGCTTTTTGTGTTTGCTTTTTCTTTTTCTCCCACGAAACCTGCCCTTCAGGGCTATGTTTGAGGACTGCCATTATATATATGCTTTTGATATTTCATCTACAAGACATTTCTTTCCATTGTATTTGTACAAAAAGATTCCATTAAATGCAGTCCAAGGGAAATTAGATGTCATTGCAACTATTCTGCTTATTAAAAGTGATTACTGCCAGTCTATTTCATTGTCACCAGTTTCTTATGCTGACTCCATGGTCACAAGACAGTAGCAGAGGAACTTATGGGAAGATTTCTCCTTCAGAATCAGAGCAATGAGGGACACTTTGTTTCCTTCTTCCCCTTCTTCCAAGTAATTTATGACATTCAGTCAAAAGATGACTTCCCAAATTCCCAACTTTTCCTTGTTCTGATGGAGAAAATGCATTTTTATCTTGTCTCCTGTGCTTTGTAAAGTGTGCTAGCTGTCTAAAGCATTTCCAGCTTTACAGCAACCTTGAATAAACCATGTCTGTACACAAATTCTAGAATAGAAGAGAAAGCTGCAAAGTGTTCAGATATATATCTTCTCTTTCTGACTACAGCACTGTCCAACTGTTTCTCCCTCAATGCATTCTATTTAGACACATTCACTATG